GATATATAATTTTTAAAAAGACTGGATAAACGCACCCTTTTAGAAAGACACCAGTCCCTTTTACAAGGGTAGAACTTCCAGCCATCACCTCTATAAGGTCAACCTTCTAATTCTTCTACAGTGACAATTAGATTTTAACATGAGTTTTTGGAAGAGACAAAGTTTCAAAGAAGCCCCAGTATTGGATTTTTGAACTGGTCCTTAAACAAGAGGCATGGAACTACCATGCTTGCCTTAGCTGCATCAGTATCTGCTACTATGGTTAGGAATGGGGTCATTTCCCACTGTCACACGTTAAAGGGAAGGAAGGAGGTGGTATAATTGTAGACAACCTATAGTGTCTATGGCTATGGCACAGAGAAGAACACCAACCTACCTAGGAGAACTTGGGGGAAAAGGGAAGTTAGTGTATGAATAATTCATTTATTAAGGTCAAGAACTATGGCTCCTTTGCCATTGATTTCTCAACTCTTAGATAGTGCCTGACACGTAGTGTCAGAAATATTTGTCACGTGAATAAAGGCACCCAGGAAGAGTTTCTACTTGAACTTAATGATGCAGACCAGGTGATGAAGTAGACAAGGAATTTCAGGTAGTGTTAAAAATATCAGAAAAAGCCAGGTGTGGTGGCGCACACCTGTAATCCCAGCACTTGGGAGATAGAGGCAGGCAGATCTCTGTGAGTTCAAGGCCAGCCTGGTCTGCATAGTGAGATCCAGGACAGCTGGGACTATAGAGAGCCCGGTCTCAAAAAGACCAAAAACAAAAAAAATCAGAAAAAGCTAACAACCATGAACGTAAATATGCATATCATATACAAGATAAACTTCAGAAAACAAAGAATTTAAAGTTTTTAGAGCAACATTCCAAGCTAGAGAAGGCAAAGGACAAGACTAGAGAGGTGAGGAAGATTCACAGTGTGCTGGTCCCATAAACAGTGCAAAAAAAGGAAAAATTCTAGACCAAAGACTGAAATAGTCATATTTACCTTTTGACTAGTTCAATTTGACAATTATGTGCAGAAAGTGAGCTAAGGAGCACAGGTAAGGGTGACCAGGTGAAGTCAGAAGTGCATCCATGTTTGTTTTTATACATGAGGCAGAGGAAGAATCAGGCATTTTCCATTTTACTTTACATTTTTATGTTGGGTGAGGAGATGGGAAATCTCAGGAGCAACTGCCTTCAAAGAACTAATGATAACTTTGGGATATGTTTGCTTCAGAAACTCCTGAGTCCTGGTCGTGATGTTCAACTGTAGTTGGATGTACATGTAGGAAGCTGGGTGGGGGAGATTTCTGGGCTAGATGTACATGTTCAGGGTCTTCAGTATTCAGGTGTTGGTTAGAGGAACAAGAAAAATGAAAACAAATTGAGTGCAGACTTGGGGGCATCTGGGAGTCACTGGTTATGTATAGAAGGGAGGGGAGCTGGGAGGGACCATACAAGAAGAGGAAAGTAGCGGAACAGAGAAAGAAGGTACTCTAACTGTTTAGTATACTATCTTAGATAAAAAAGAATAGATACCTTCAATAAGAACTAAGACAGACCAATAAATCCTTAAGAACAGTAGAGAGATTAAGAAAATTGATGGGCCTGGAGAGATGGTTCAGCAGTTAAAAACGCTGGCTGTTCTTACAGAAGATCTGGGTTCAAATCCCAGCACCCATGTGGCAGCTAACAACTGTCCATAACTCCAGTTCCAGGGGATCTGATGGCTTCTTCTGTCCTCCATGAGCACTGCATGACACAGGTACACTTACATACATGCAGGCAATACACTTATACACATGAAATAAATAAATAAATAAATAAAATTAACCAAAAACTAATTAGTGAATTTGCCAATTAGGATGGAGTGGTGACCTTATGATGAAGTGCCTCATGAGTGTGACAGACTTGGGAGCCACATTGCAAGTGAATGTTGCAGTGGGAATAAGAGGTGAGTAAGTAAAAACACAGAGAAGACGTTTCTAGGCGATAGAGAAGAAAGATGTTGGAATTTAGCCTGCAGAGTGGAAGGAGAAACTTAGAGATGGAAAAATTGTTTTAATTATTGACTCAAGAAAAAAGGCTCAGCGAGGTCAGAAAATGAAAAATATGAATGGGAGAATGCTGGCAATGCATGGCTCTAAGAAGACAGAAACATCTCCAAGTATCATGTCCATTGTATGTGTGCTCAAAAGCAGAAATACTAACACTAGAGTACATCCTGTGCCCCTTTATGTTTATAAAAAGGAGAATCTCTTCCAGAAACTCCTTATGTTTCTTTAACCCAAACAGAACAATTTGTGTGATATGTTACTCAGTCCCATGCCATAACCATCTGTCTAGAATTCCCTGCTAAGTTATAGAGGCCAGGGATCTAAAAATATATTTCTAAGACTCCCTTGCAGCTAGGTTTCCATATGTGACCTGCTTCCATTACGTTAGCTATTTAGTTCTAGGCCTAGAGGAGTGACGTGGAACAACTCAAAGCAGCAGATGCAGGTTAGGTTTTCTTGGATGCATGTTGACAAATGTGGCAAAAATGGCATTTTTTGTAGATGAGGTCTTTTAGTAGTGCTGGTGACTGACCTTCAGAGTCAGGGGTGGTAACAAAGTGTCAATAATGTTCTAACATTCCTCAGGTGTGGTTGAGAATTCACCTTTGTTATCTAGTTCCTTACTGTCTTCGTTTCTTTTTCTGTTGTTTTAAATAAAATATCCTCACAAAAACAACTTGAAGGAGAAAAGGTTTATTTTGGCTTACTTTTTCAGCTAGACTACTTGACCAGGGAGTATGGGAACTTTCCTGTCCCCACCCTCACACTGGGTTTACAGGCACATGTTTACATGAGTGCTGAAGACCTAAACTCATGCCCTCATGCTTGTGTGGCAAACACTTTACCTGCTGATCCATCTCCCCAGCCCCTTCCTCACATATTCTTACCCATCTTACATATACCTACGACCAGGTATTAATCTGGTCATAAATCCCTGTCTGAGTAAACTAGTAAGAATAGGTTTTATTGTCTACATTTAAGAACTCTTAAATAAAGACCACTGAAGCTACCATGGGGGTGGAGGAAGGAAGTAGCTGGCAATTTTAGGTTCTTCTAGCTGGGAAGGAGTATCATGGGAATGGTCACTGTACAAGCAACCAAAAACACTTCGTATGGGTAAGTGTGGAATAAATAGGAATGTAAGTAGGACAGACTAGGAAAATGCTTTTTATAAAGAACTGTTTGTACCAAACTTAACCTATTTTATCTTTAATCATTTCAGGCCTCACTCCAGTCAGACCCCCTCTTCAAATCTGAGAGACGACAGTAACAAAATAGAATCTGATAAGGAAATAAAGAATATCATTATGATTATGTAGACAAGCAAGCAATACAGTAAATATATTCTGAACCTCTTCCTAGATATTCAGCCATTGGAATCTTCATTCTAAATCCTCTAAAGTACTAAGAACGATTTTGAAAGTTACTGTTTTTAGTTTTTAAAATAAAAACAGTTTTATGGTTAAGCCATTTCTGAAGAGGTATATGTAAAAGTAGGCCTGCCTCTTGTCCCAGCATCTTAGTTTCATGTCTCCTTGCAGGAATCCCCCTGTGCATGTGGAATCTCTTTCCTTCTCCTTTCCCACTGCTCAGCTTCATTCTTTCTAAATGCAGAACAGATTTTGTTGCATAAGTGACTCATAATATATTTAAGCAATCCCTCATTGATGGACATTTAAGCTATTTTAATATATTATAATTGCAAACTATTCTATGGTACATTGATGTGCAGACATCTTTGTGCTGCTGGCTGGAGTGTGGCATAAGACAAAACCCTAGATAAAGAGTGTTAGATCAAGACTATGTCTTCTTAACTTTTTATAAATATTGTCCAATTACTACCTCCAAAAAAGGGCACCATGCTAATTTGTTTTTGTTTTTTATAATTCTACTTTCAAAGTAGTTAAATAAGAGCCAGTTCTTATGCGCTGGTAGGGAGGACAGTAATATGGGAAAAGTAAACTAGTCTCCAATGGGTATTTACAATCTTACTGTATAAACAATTACAGCATTAAATGTCTGCAAAATTCAAGTGGCAAATGAGCAGTGAATATCAATTGCACATCTGCCACATCTCAAGGCAGATGGCCTTTTAATTTTACATCCCAAAAATTATATCCAAATTTCATTCCCGTCTTCAGCTCCCTCCCCACTCTTTTTTTTTTTTTTTTTTTTTTTGGAAAAGGATTGTTATAGTTTTAACTGTCAATTTTATTTTTATCTAAAATAACAAAAACACAACCAAATCAATTTAATTTTAACCTAAAGTACCAAAAACCTACCTAAGCAGGTATCAAGGATTGGGATTTAATCCATGAACATGAATGGGAGCTACTGCAAATACAACCCCTGCCTTCAGTGACCTTTCAGTCTAGGTTGAGAAATCAGCATATGAAAATGAAATTGCGGCATGCCAGATGAAGAGGAGTCAGTGCTCTGCTGTATAATTTCACTATTCACACTTGTAAAGACAAAGAAGGAAGCGATTGCTTTTCATAGGAGCTGCTGTCAGGGACTCAAGAGACAGATGGGTGTTGGCTGGGTTTGAGGGATAGGAAGAAGACAGGCACAAAGAAGCAAGGGATGTGCAAATGGAACTGAGTGAGGCATAGGCTGGAGGGAGAGTGACATAGTATTTGGGGAGAGTAGATGTTAGTGAGCAGAGCAGGACCATAGAGCCAACACCTATCTTGGAAGGAACAATAGGAAGTAATATGAAATGGCTGTGATACACTGACGAGGGCATTTGGGGAAAGAAGATATTTATCATGTGTAGAATGGCTTTGCAGAATTAAAATGGCTTGTGTTTGATCTCTCATATCCAGCAACTGAAATTATAATTGACACCTAGTGTCCCACACATATGATGTGACCTTTCTTATATTACAAAGCTTGTGAATTTATCTGTATGCGTTGAGTTTGTAGAAGCTGGATAGTTGTTTTCCGGGACCTGAATATCTGCTTAATAACTATTGCTTCAAGGAAGGTTAGGATGGTAAAAGGAGGACCCCAAAGTGAGGGAGATGCATAGGGAGGCTAACCGGGGTAGGGCTACCAGGGCTGTGTTCAAAGTTCATGGGTACAGAGGGACACTACTGGTGGAACTCCAGCTTGGTGACATGGGAAGAATAGGAGGGAAAATTTACTAAATAATCCACTGAGTTACTAATTGAGGATTTACCATGTCCGAATCCCTCTGCTAAGCACTAGAGGGGAGTGAAACACTGTTCAAGAAACTCTTTCATTCAGGGAGGTACAGCATGGGCAGGTTGAGGGCATAGAGAGAGGAGTGGCAAAGCCAAGTCATGGAAGAGCCAAAGAGAGACAGAACTTGTCAAGGAGATTCAAAGAAGAGACAGGTCTCAGCTGATTGGAGACTCAGGGTGACATATAAGGTGGTGGGCCTTGAGGATGTATTGGAGCCTAATTTACAGGGTTACACAGAGGAGCTGGGAGAGTGATGATCAGTATAAAGATGAGCAAGGACAGAGGAAACCACAGGTACAATGGAAGAACAGTCATTTGTGCTGGGCATTTAGACATATCAAGTATAGGAAAGGTACACGGAATAAGGGCAGGAGGAATTTTTCTTTCAGCCCTTGAATTCTGTGTTGAGGAGTTTGTTTTGAATTAGGAAACAAACAAGGATCCATTAGAGATTCTTAAGAAGAAAGGAAAAAATTAGAAAAAGGCTTTATTGGGAAGGGAAAATGGTAGTGGGTCAACCAGTTAAGTAATTACAGGGCCTTGGGAAATCATAAGGAAACTGAGTCCTGAAAACGTTGTGTCCTCTCTAGAAAGGCTGAAGGCTGGAGTTTCAAGTACCTGCAAAGTCTTCATGGCAGTGGACTTGGGATTCTGGACTGTTCTTAGAATTTAGGTGACCTAGGTGCCAGGGAATTTGTTTTAAAATATGGTTTCATGGGAACTGGAGAGATGGCTCAGTGGTTAAGAGCATTAATGACTCTTGCCAAAGACCCAGGTTTGAATCCCAGCACCTACGTGACTGCTAACAACCATCCAGAACTCCAGTTCCAGGGCACCGAATGCCATGCTCTGTCCTCTGTGGGCACTGCACAACCTGGGTGCACTTAAATACATGCAAATAATACAGTTTTCAGATAATTAAAAAAGCAAGTGTCTGCTGAATGGATTTCTGTGGTTCTTCCAGTAGGAGACAGAGTATTAAGTATTCTCTCTCTCTTACCCTCTCGCTCTCTCTGTCTCTCTTTCTCTCTCTGTCTTTCTCTTCTCTCTCTCTCATGTGTGTGTATGCACACACATACGTGTGTACATGTGCACACGTGTGTATGTGGGGTCGTGTGGAGGCTAGAGGTCGGCATCAGGTGTCTTCTTCAGTTGTTATCCACCTTGGGTTTTGAGATGGGGTCTCTGCCTGAGCCGGGAGCTCACTGATTCAACGAGGCTGGCTGGCCAGCTAGCCATAGTAATCCTTCTGTCTCTGCCTTTGCACACTGAGATTACAGGCACATGCCTGACTTATTTACGTAGTTTCTGGGGGATTGCCCATGTCCTCAGGCTTGCATGAGTGAGAATACCTTATTGTCCCCAGCCTCAGAACACTCTCATAATAAACAGCGACAATGGCCATGAACACACTTCCTATCACCTTTCTGAAGCAGGCACTGGTTATTAAACCTGAGACTTAAAAGTGGTGCAGTAACTACTCTGAGATGAAAGACATGTGCAGAGGGAGAAACATCTTTGAATTAAAACAAGAATGTGCTATTTCCTCTGAAAGCAGTCCTGTCTTTCTCCCCAATCTGCTTCTGCATAATTTTAGTCTATTTTTCTAATTATGGTAACAGAGCAAGAAAAGTCCCAAATGCTCTTCTCATTCTCACTACTTTTCCTCAAAAAAAAAGTAATAATTTGTTAGTCTGTATATAAGCCAGGGAAAATGAAACAAAGACAGGGTGTTAATTTTCTTTGTGCGAGTTGTCTTTGGCACATTTCTTTCCTTCTTCTGCCCAAAGTCATTTAAGAGAGTGTCATTCAAGACCAATTAAAGGGATTTGGAACGGGGACTCTGAGTTTTCAGTTGGTATCAATCAATTGTGCAATTTGGCCATCAATAGACTTTGAAAGGCTCTTCCAAAATGGCTGCATTTAACTGTAGCTGAAGAATTAGAAATGAAACTTCCATGAGAGAGTCCTCTTTGAACGACTGAGAACTCTGAAAATTGGGTTTCTCCTTTAATTGTTTGAATCAAAGGTTGTCAGTTTGGCAAAGAGAACATG